TTAACCAGACCAGACCAGACCAGCAAATTTCAGTCCAAAAGAAAACATCCTTGGTCCAATTAACTTTTTCGTATGGCGGATAAGTTAAAGTATACACATCACACGTAGTAAATTTAGCAAGAAAAAGAAAAAGAAGCCAAAACTTTAGGACTTGTCTTTCAGTAACATTGTTCAAAGTCATTGATGGAAATAAACATTGAAACCAATAAACGAAAAAAGGGGTTATATATGGGGTAAATTATACTGTACATCCGGTTGTGCTTACGTAGAGCCGGGTATTTTGCAATTAATTACAACTCCAGTTGTAAAGATTAAGGATGGAGAAGGCCTTACAACCTTTGTTCGCTGCTCGCTGATGTCCTGGGAATCAAATTGGAGGCGTGGACGGTTTGTGTTGTTCGCTTGCTGGAGGCTGGCTAAGGAGGTGCCACTGGGTGGATTCCTGGGATTGGTGAAGCTGGTGCAGCTCCTGGAGTTGATTGGATGAAGGAGAATCGTGCTCGTTGTGTGGCCTGTTGATCAATTTCAACTTTGTATTTTAATATGATATTTTAATATTGTGCGTTAACATTTTCAGCTTGTTAATTATTAACATAAATTTATATTAAATTGAAAATGAGTATAGTGTTTATAATAAATTTGCATAACGATTAAAAGAATTGAAAATACATAAGTAAATATTTGATCTCGTTAGAAAATCCAAATGAGTATACACTAATGAAAAGTTGAGTATACTATAGATTTAAATGAGATTTTTGAATTTTTTGTTGCTCATTTCATATATTATGTATGCTCATTTGAAATTGGTGTAATGCTCATTTTGAAATGTCGAATGCATATTTTAAAAGTATAATACTATATTAGATTCAAATATTGGACTCATACAGATTCATTGATATTTTAAAAAATAAGAAAAATAGAATGAATCAAAGATATGAAACAGAGATTGAGATGCTAAAAAAAACAGGTCTCATGCTCATTAACAATACATTAATGCTCATTAAACGGATGTCACAAATTTCATTTAAATTACTAAAATGTCACCGTTTTTTAGTTGTTAAACCAGCTTTCTTGTAATAACACGGTGCTCAATATTAGACGCTTAATACTCATTAAAATTGGACTATTGCTCATTAACAGTACACTAATGCTCATTTAGCAGAAACCATGATTTTCACATTAATTACAAAAATACCACTGAATTATTTTGCTATTTTTCCTTTGAGCCTGTTACTGGGCCGGCTGTACGGTGTTCCCCGTACAGCCGGGTGTACCATATACATACTCTTATATATGGCCCCAATTAAGGCCATAATGCTTCCCTTCTTATGTACGAGTTCTCTACCACGTCCTGGTTTGTTTAAATTAAATTCAAAACAAACTTGTAGTTATCTTTGATTAAAATTAAATTGTTAATTTTGAGAGTTCCTTGAGAATTAGACAAACACATGTTAATGCATGTAAAACGGTCCACAAAACTATTGTGCAGTTCAAAATTTCATTTTAGACCTTTAATTGGACTCAAATTTCTGATCAAGTGAGGTAAATGTCCGGTCTTCATGAATTTACAATTGTCGAGCTTTGATCTGGTCATATATGATTAGTTTGAGATTTGGTACGTACTCAAATAAACATTCACATATTGAACAATTTGCAATATGGCTTGAATTTGGTCATTGTTGCAATGTAAATGGTCTTAATGTGGTTTGAATTTGGTTATTGTTGCAATGTATATTCCCCAAGAACTTTCCATTTGTGGACACTTGACCGCTGGAAGTCGTAATCCACACACAGTACAAAATCATGTGGCTGAACCGTGGACTACAATTTGTTCACAAACTTCACCAAATCTCTAACTTAAATGGTTAATTGGTGCCCAGACATTTCCGACTTACACTTACTACACTATTTTTGGTTAAGAATTGAACTCAAATTCAAATGCCATTATGAGAGAAAAGAAAGTCCCATTATTAGGATGTTTTTGAATTCACTTAAACTTTTAGTTGTATTGTTCTTACTCTTGAAGTCCTGTCTGAATTACAACGACTACGCAGAGACGTCTCTATGGATTAACCGATGTTTGTATATGAAGCTATTTATTTTATATGTTGAATAAACCATTTGAATAGAGTAAATTAGTCAATTTAGTATTATTGTAAAGTTGTATTGACAATGAATAATGTGATGTATTAACATATACTCTGTATCTATTTTATATTAGGTGTAAAAATTTGACCGAATGGACGTTCTTAATGAGCGTCTTAACGGAAAGGAGTGCCTTTTCACAACTTAATAAGTAAGTCAATTTTTTAACTGAATGAAAAAATTATGTTTTCAATTAAGTCGAAAGTAAACATGACTTAATGACTGAACGATTAAGCGGTAACAAATTTATACCTACCCGCCTCGTTACCTGTCCCGCTACCCGCCAGACCTGTTTAATTTGGATACGGTTACATGCACCATTACCTGACCCACACAATTATCATATACTCCCTCCGCCCCGCTAAGATTGTGTCACGCCCCAGACCGCATCTGAGCGCGTGCACAACCGCCGTATGACCAAATGACGTCACTCGCAAGTCAACGTAACTAAGTCACACAAGGCGTACATAACAACATCATATATTTGGATTGAACGAATGGCGGAAATATTCAATATTCAATCATGGGCCACACATGGCCAAAACGTAGGCACGCAGGCCCAAAACAAATGTTTTATTACAAAGTATCCATGAGCACAGTTTATAGTTTAAAAACAATAAAGGAAACGCGAACCACGTCTCCCCTTAGATCACTTCACCGAACAAGGTGAGAATAGCAAACTTGAGCTTCAACCTGAAATGGTGCCCCCCCCCCCCCCCCCCGAAGGGGTCAGTACAAGTACCGAGTGAGTATCAGGCTAAATGTAGAATAACTAACGTTTCAAGTATAAGACCCAAACATAGGGTGATACATATACATGTAGTCTTTCCCCCCAAGTTATGAAATACATATCAATATATTTATACACTTGGAAAATACCCAACCCGTAGGTCATCGTTTATTTGGGAAAACAGTAGTAGTCAATATCCTTGACTAAGAACCCATCCCACCCATATACCTATGAGTGTATAGAACTCCTCCTGGTTCAAATCAATTATCATAAGGACACCACCCGGTCCTAGATCATTAAAATGTAATCTATGAGTTTTGAGGATACACGCCCGATCCTTGGGTACTCCACCCTATATAACCGAGTTTGAGGATACACGCCCGATCCTTGGGTACTCCACCCTATAACCGAGTTTTGAGGATAACCGCCCGATCCTTGGGTACTCCACCTTATATAACCGAGTTTTGAGGATAACCGCCCGATCCTTGGGTACTCCACCCTATATAACCGAGTTTTGAGGATAACCGCCCGATCCTTGGGTACTCCACCCTATATAACCGAGTTTTGAGGATACACGCCCGATCCCTGGGTACTCCACCCGACCTATGACTTACCACATATCACACTAGATAGGGTCTATATCATATTATTACTAATGACTAAACCAAGTCTTAGAATTAAATCGATAGATATCAACCTTGACATTTAAATATCATATTCCATGCAATTCCATGCACAATATACACACATAGGGCGTACGGGGTTAACCCCCCTTCGAACCGGGCTCCGGTTCACGTTTTTGGCGAAAACGGAATATGGAGGCAGCAGCTTACCCGGCCCCAGGTATGCCCTATACCCGGCGCCGGGTATGTTCGGAGTTTTGGGTCAACGGCCCGTTGACCCCCGAGTTGATCCCCGAAACGTGATCCGTTTGATCCGAAATTTTTATGCAACCTATATCATGTCTAAAACAATCAATAAATGCCCATTTTGGCCATCCAAAACATCATATATGTTTTTATATACATTTTCTACTTTCCACATGCATAATCATGTAGTTTCATTCACATAAGCCTAACCACCTTGGCTAATCACATGCTTAAACTCTTTTAAACATCATTATGAATACTTATAACATTTATTTAGGTAATCTCATACTTAACCCAAGAGTTATAAGACATTAAGCCGTCCACTCACCTTGAATTAGTGCTATGAAGTTCTACCCTTCTCGGTTGAACCCCGGCGAAACTCCGGCGATACCTCCGGCGACTCTTTCAACTTCGTGAAAGCTCTTGAATCACCCTTGGTAAGTGCCTAAAAATGTTTTATCATCACGAAACCCATATCAATACGAATAACCTCTAAAAGGTTATTTTCCGGCAAACCGGTTTCTTTGGCTTCTAAGTCCGTTCTTGGACTTAGAATCACCTTCCAACCCCTCATTCTACACTTTTAACATGTGGAACTATCCCAAGGGTATTTCATATGATCTATAACTCATATGAAAATCAAAATATAGGAGAAAAGTTGTTCAGGAGCTTCTTACCTTTCTTCCCAAGGTTTTTCTCTACTTTTGCAACTCTTTCTCCTTCCTTGAGTTCCTTGCTCTTTGGAGCTTTTTTCAACAATGGAGATGGAGGTTTTCAGAGCTCCCTTTCTCTCCCCTTGGTGTCTTGGTCGAGGTTGAATAATGTAAAAATGCTCAAAGCTAAGTGAGTGTCGCTAATTTTCATGTTTATAAGAGTGTGTATACCCGCACGAGTAGCTCAACTGGTAAAACGATGAGAAAGTTGGACAAATGATCAAGGATCGAAACCCACAACGACCGTGTGAAGGCGACATCTTCTATGTGCTGGACTTGGCCTATTGTACACACGGGTATAAGGTCTATTACCGTTATGATTGATTGAGTCACCGTGATTAACAACTCTCATGTGCTCTGTCGGATCGGGACGTGGAGGCTCTTGGGATTGGTGATTCAACCTTTTGGACAAATGTTTATTAGAGCGTGATATGATTCTCCCTATTTGGCTATTTTAATATCGTATTTTTTAAAAAAAAATAATGGTTGATAGATAATAAAAACAATTTATTATTTAAATAGAACGATGATAAACATCTTGTCACTCAAACCCAATATTCTCTCCACCCATACCACCCCTCTCCCTCTATATATACATCAGAGCGATGAATTACGGAGTATGTAAATTCCCAAGCTAGCAGCTCTCAATTAATTAAACCTAACATCAAAGTATTAATTCTTCAGAAACACTTGAAGGTCCGTCTCTAATATGATCGATGCACAGAACAATCAGTCCAGAGATTGATCGGAGATGGCGGGCCAGTCGGAAAGAAGAAGCTGACGGCGGCGGTCTAACTCTGCCGCCGGTTTCGCCTAAATTTCATAGTGAATGTTGCATGTGCGGAGATAAGGGTCTGCCATTTGAGCTTTTCAGATGCAAATCTTGCCTATTCCGATCCCAGCACAGGTACTTAATTAATTAATTATTTAAGAAATTATTCATTAATTAATTACACCCTGTTCTGAAAATGAAGATTTTGGTTCTGCTTTCTCAGTCTTCCGTAGTTATGTTCAACCATTATTCTTAATCGTGATTGTTTAATAATTGAAATCATACAAATTTAAAACGATATGAAAGTATTTGGCAGAGTAATTATGGAAATAAATTTGGTCAATAATAGTGCTTCAACCGACTACCGACCCATTTGACAACTTTCTCATTCATTTCCCCCCAAAAAAATTGCTATTTTAAATAATTTCGTAATTTATGTTTGTTCTTTATTTATATCTCTCCAAATTAAACATGGGCATCACGATTTTCTATAATTTTACTTTTCTTTTCTTATTTGAGACCTATATATTATACTTCAAAGTTTAAAGCACCAAACCCCTTCCTGAAATACAAACCTGGCGCATCGGTCCCTGATTTATAAAGTGCGTCAAACCTCTTCTATTATAATTATTCGTAAAAAGGGTCTCACGCATGAATATTTGTTGCATTTTTTAAGTACAAAGGTTATTGAATTTATATTTCACGTGGAAATTTGATGTATTAAACCGTTATACTCCGTATTAAACTTGCTAATGTGAGGGGTAGTATTACATTTTTAAAATTGTTTAAAAGACTAGTCAACTATACTTCTACAGTTCTACCTCAACATTGACCGCTTCATTCAAAAAGCATTTGCAATTATAGCGCCTGATTTATTCATTCAACATCATCTCGAGTCGGAGTGTACAAAAATTCTCTCACTTTTGTACTCATTCCCTATTTTGCCCGTGCACACAGACAATTCGTTAAGAAGAAGGCAGCACTTTTCTCCCAAATGTACAAAAGGGTGTACAATAGTAGGTATAATAAGGACTCGACATTGTACAATGGAGATATAATTTCCATATACAAAATACATGTTAATAATTTCCATATAAAGGTGATTGTTATCAATTTCGCAAAAGAACGAATACATGCAAAGTTAAACTAGTGTTTCCTTTTAGAAGGCAAAGGGGATCAACTTGCATTAAAATTCCAATTGGGTGAATATCTATAATAAAAAATGTGGGGATTTATGGATATATGTGCAGGTATTGCAGTAATTTATACCCGAAAGCGGAGTCTTATCGGCAATGCAACTGGTGCTTAAGGGATCAAAAGGACGACGACAACTCTTCCCATTCTTCTTCTTCTTTACTCTTACCATCGCCGCCGCATAGAGCCGCCGGGAGCGACGGCGATGAAATAATTACAAAAGAGATCAAGAAGAACGAAAAAGAAAAGTTACCCCGGTCCATTTCACCTCTTCCTCACCACCCACAAAATTTACCAATATGGAGTAATAAAAAAGGTGGTGGGTCAAGCCCAAAGGGGGTGATGAGAAAGGGCCCTCTCATGGCGGCGGAGAAATCACCGCCGCTCAAAACCGCCGGTGCGGCCAGTCTGCGGAGGTCAGCGTCGGATGTTGGGATAGTTAAACATGTGGTGGTTAGAAACAAGGTAAGGAGAAGGTATAAGCTCTTGGAAGAGGTAGCCAGTCGCTAGTCAATAATGTGACTATAATATAGTTAATTAATATTTCGAGTTTTTTCTCCTTGTGATTGTTTCAAAAGCTGATCCTCTTTGAAAGTGAAATTGAAATTTTCCTGATAAGAGATACAAGTGTGTATCTTGAGGCACGCATTTTTCTAAAATGGATGATGTATATATTTAGTAAAATAAATAAATATCCCAAAAGAAATATCTTTTTATATGTTTAATTTGTAATATTTCAATATTATTCAAATTGTTAAAATATTTGTCCCACCCGAGTTTACCCGCAGTCATTGACAATGAAATGAATGAATAGTTATGGAGTTGGCCTTTAGTAGGGATGGCAATGGGGCGGGGTTGGGGCGGGGGTTCACTCCCCATCCCCCGCCCCGTGTCTAAAAAATCGCCCCCACCCCCGCCCCATCCCCCACTACTATTCGACCCGCCCCATCCCCCGCCCCGACCCGCTAGACCCACGGGTACCCAACGGGGAAGTATTCGTCAAAAATTAACATCATTTTAGACTGACAATTTTTCAAAAATTTAACAACACTTCTAGTAGCCAATTTTTTTTTTTTACTTTTTAAGTGTCAATGTAATCTTACATCCCATTTCAAATCTAGAACACATTATACACGTTTTAAATTAGTAATTTTTATCAAACTCTAAATTAGCATTGATTAGCTCTATAATATTTTCTTAAACCCTGCATTCAATCAATCATGGTCATTTGACGGCATCTAGGACGACATATGATCACCAAATTTTAAGAGCCCTAACTACAATCATAAAGATGACATTCAAAAGAAAAGAATTAATGCATTATAATAGTAAAAGAAAAAAACTTTCACACCGTGCCTGAGGCGTTTAAGCTAATATCACTTTATAACTTTCCCAAATTCATTTTATTTTATCTCTAAAAAAATCATTTTACTTTATGATTTTGATAAGCAATTTTACAAGATAGCTTAGTTATTAAACAAGAATTAGATAGATCCATTACGCACAATCCATTAGATAGGAAACCACTAAACTCACCGGACCACCATGCTATTTTAATTACTTCGTATTAGTATTACTATTATTATTAGTATTATTATTGAGATTATTATTATTAATTATTACGGGGGACGGGGCGGGGACGGTGCGGGGGGTGCATAACCCATCACCCGCCCCATATTTATGCGGGGAGAAAATATCTCCCCCACCCCACCACCCACCCCACCACCCGCCCCAACTCCCCCCCACGGGGCGGTTCCCCACGGGGCCCCGCCCCCATTGCCATCCTTAGCCTTTAGTCTAAAATTTGATATTCCTTATACATTTATATTTTACGGAGTACATGACAACGAAAATATGACTTTTTATTTGAGGCAATATATGCATGTACTATGTGTAATGACTAATGATAAATTCCAAATACGAAGAGTGATTCATATGGACTCTGTTATATGAAATAAAAAATTAAAAAAAAAAGCCGTTTATAATAATGTACTTTGACGTTCAAAGTAATGCACTACCTTGCCATAAAAAGAAATTGTTTTATCATGTTTTGGTCCTACTATGGGATTTATCTTCAAGTTTTTTTTACCATAAAAACAAACTGAAGATTATTTTGGAACATACGGAGTATCAAAATAGCAAGAATGAAGATGATTATGGGATTTATGGGATGATATAGATTATATAATTCGACTCTTAAACAGGTTGTTTTAGGTTCCAATGAGCCAACATAACTCATCTTTAGTACATTGTTAATGTTTTTATTCATTTGTGATCTTCCATTCAAATTATGGCACCTCTTATATGCGACTTAAAGCACCCAAAATATTGAAGTGATACATCGTTCACTTTTAGAAGAATGATAAAAAGAATGATAATTGAATCCCCAAAAGTCTTGTCGAGATTGGGGATTCAACCTTTTGGAAGAATGATAAAAAGAATTACTACCCCCGTCCCAAATTGATTTGCAAACTTGACTTTTTTTTATCAAACAGTTTCATATGATTCGATTAATTAAGATGTCAATTTTTAATTATATTCTAATTTGGAGTTTGCAACTTTGAAGAGATTTTAATGTTGTTTCTGAATATGTAAATTTTAATTATTTAAAATTGAATTAATTATTGGTACGGAGCATTGATTTTTATTATTGGTTGACAAAAAAATGTTGATTTTGCAAAATAATTTGGGACGGAGGGAGTAATAATCTTGATAGGTAAAGTCAAGTGCTGAACAGAAAATGAGATAGCTATACATGGAAGGTTATGACTTAGGATTACTTTATATTTACAGTCTCTTTGTCTCACAAGGTAACGTGACATGTTGGCAATGATTCACGAGTTGAAATAGTACGTCGGTATAATACTTACCTGGCCTCGAAAGGAACATTTCACACTCACAATTAACGATTCCAAGTAGGTAAGGTACGTAATACAATCAACCATAACCACTGTCGGCATGAGAGGGTATGTATACGTATAGATCTCACAATTGTACGGTGTCTTAGTTTGATTTGCCATAGTTATTAATGAAGTAGTTGAAAAAGTAAAAGTTGTGATTGAGATTTGAGTATAATATAGTGAAATGGTGTAGGCCACATATTTTTTTCTAAAAAAGGAAAATAGGACAGGTAAAATGGGAAAAAATGAGTAATTTTATTTTTCTTTATCTTCAACTTACATTACAACTCAACCTATTTTTCTACTCTTTATCAATTCATAACAAAAATTTATTAATCTAAATAAAATAAGTATATTGAGTTTCATATTCAAACATTATTACTTTTATTTTTGTAATATTTTTTATATTCATACACTTTTTTGTAATATATTTAACATATTCACACTTTTTTCTATAATATACTACGCCCCCGGTTACCTATATTTTATCTCTTTTACATGTCTTTTGAGTTTTTTTAAGATATTTTGTTTGTTTGTTTCGGTTCTTGAGTTACATTTAATAATGTGCGCGAGTTACATCTTTTTATGTGCGTGTTACATTTTTTATGCGGGAATTACATTTGTACTTGACTGTACTCAACAAGTTACATTTTCCATACACGTCAGTTACATTTTCCATCAACACGAGTTACATTTGTGATATAACACGAGTTATATCACAAACTAAACCCCCGCCATTGAAACAAAAAAAATAATTTTTATAAAACCATCTTTAATTTCCCTTATATTAAAAACAAATTATATCAACTATTTACAAGTAATCGAGCAATTAGACTCTTTTTTTATTGTTTACATTAAAATTCATGTTTTATTTCTTATGCTCCGTACTGGAGAAGTTATATTTCAACTAGTTCGCAGTTACATTTCTCGTAAATGTACATGCGTTACATTTCCTTACACGCAAGTTATTTCACCTTACCACCGAAACATAAAAATTGAACTTGTACGTGTTTTAGATATGGGAGTACCATGCATACTCATCATGGACTTCTCCCACGGCGGGTATAACAACCTCATATAGGGTTCTACTTAATTAGTTAATTGCATAAATCGCACAATACATCAATTTATGGAGCTTCCGCATAAGTTAAGTCAATTCGCTTTTAATAATATTTACATTAATGTTAACTTATATATGACGCGCGAAAATTCTCAAGAAAGCTAGAGTACGTTTTCATTCGGAAACTTTGTGAAAACTCTTCAAACATTTTTTTTTCGATTTAAAGATGACGTTTCTTGTTTACACGTGATTTTCGCATTTTCATAAAACATAGATGTTAACTACTCTTTATTAAATTTGATTTCAAAATTAATTATTTTTTTATAAAACAAATAACACTGAATTCGGATAAGCCAAATATTTGAATTTAAACCCAAATAACAAAAAGAAAGTATTGTAATTAACACTTTATCATAAAATGTGCTCCAATTTGCTGTCCTACATCTCTATTTTACTTTCTTCAAAAATTCTATTTTTATTTAGTTAGTTACTCCATAATATATACTTCGTATATATTTATGTCAAATCTCATGTATCAAGCTTAAACTAATACTTCGTATGATCGAGTGAGGATCGGAAAATAATTTTCTGGAAAACGTGATTTGGGTTTGTTTATCATAATAATAATAATAATAATAATAATAATAATAATAATAATAATAATAATAATAATAATAATAATAATGATGAGCTGTAGGCTGTAGCATTAATGAAAGAGGAGTGTTGCCTAAGTTTTTATTTTTTATTTTCCTTTTTATTTTGATGATTGGACTTGCCAACTTACTAAATCATATTATTGGTATGATTATATCAACACTAACAAACGAGCAATTAAGAGATGGAATATAATAATTATTACAAGAAAAATGTTGAAACCTTTCACGCAAGGTCCCAATTCAACGTGCGTGTTGATGTAAACCCAACAACAACCAGTGACCAGTTCTTGCCTGGCCGGCCTGTTAAAATACAAGAACATACTACTATATGCAAGAAATAATTATAAATAAATTAGAAATATTAAAATGCCATGAATGGAGGACAAAATGCTATATTATCTAAAAGATTAGCCCAAAATATTCTCCCACAGAAAAGTTAACTCATTTGTTGTAGGATATAAGGTATTTTGGTAGACCTTCCACGCAATTCATTTCATGAGATAAAAGTTAACTCATTTGTTGTAGGATATAAGGTATTTTGGTACACAGACAAAGGCATATAACGCACGTTTTAAAGAGAGATTTTCCAAAATAGAAGTAAATGAAGTTTGAAATTTCAAAATAGGACTACCATGACAGTATTAACTATCAACTTGTAGGCGTGACTGCCAAATAATTGCAGTACAATGCATTTAACATGACAGTATTTATTAGAATTAATGACAATATTTTTCATATATGGTAGTAACAATTCGTATTTCGGGAAAGAAAACACGGTAGTCCTATTTTGGAATTTCAAACCTTATTTACTCCTATCCAAGACAATTTCCCCGTTTTAAATCAATCCTAATGAACTATAAACTTCTTGGGAGATTTATCTAAATAGGAGTAAAGTTTAAAAATTCCTTAAATATGAGTTATTGTTTTAGATGGACAAAAACACCCCTAAAGCTTGAAAAGCATATTGCTGTGAACAGTAGTCGGACCGCCGCCGATCTCCGGTCGCCGCTGCCAGTCGCCTCTACCTCAGAACTAGCCGTTGCAGATCTGGCCGCCTTCGTCGCAGATTTGGCCACCGCCGTTGCAAATTTGGCTGCCACCACCGCAGATCTAGTATCAGAAATTGACCTGAATAGGAGGAAAAACGTGTTGAAATTCCAAAATAGGAGTATCATGTTTTTTATTCTTTGAATAGGAGTAAATTTCTGTCAAGTTTGGCATTACAAGGCTTTTAAACATGGCATTTTTGTCACGCCCCGGACCTCCCCGGACACGTCAACAACCCGCCGTACAATACGAATAGTCAACCGCAGTCCAACACATTCATATTATACAAGGCGTCTCGAATATCATTCACACGTAAGCCATCCATAAACAAACATAGTAAGTAATTCATAATGCAGCGGAAAACATTGTTTAAAACAAAAAGGCCACACCGGGCTATTCATGAGCACGCAGGCTCCATAGTAAAATATCCATGAGCATGTTTATTAATGTTTAAAACTGAATGGAGGAAGCACGAACCAAGTCTTCCCTCCTAGATGATCCCTCGAGCAACGAGCACAGGAAGCAAGCTCTAGCCTCAACCTGAAAAATGGTGGTGGGACGCCCCCGAAGGGGTCAGCACTCTATAGGGCTATAAAGTGCTGGTGTGGATGGAATCTAATAGATATACAACAAGTATTTCAAACACAAGACCCTCAAATAGGGTGATAGTATAATCTAGGCCGTAACCCCAAGTTACCCCTTTTAAAAATATACTTACTTTATATATAAAGTCAAGTAGTCGGCCCGTAGGCCCAGGGTTTGTTTATCAAACATACCCCAAAAATCCCGTGACCCCTAGTCACAACAATACATAGGGTTCAACCCTAACACACACGTTTGCATTCTCGAGTCCAACTCGACTACATCACCATGCACCCTTATTAACATAAGCTAACTACTCCACCGTGCATTTCTTGAGTCCAACTCAACTACATCACCATGCACGACAATCACCTCATCATGTCTACCCAATGCAATTCTATGAGCACGGGCTCAAGTACATCTCCTTACATTGGCATAGACCCCAATTCCTAAGCACTCACTATGCCTAGAATTGTAATATCAATAATCTATTTTGGGACATCCCTACGGACTGCCCAACCATGGTCTTAGCATCACATTACATCAATTTAGTCACTTGCATCACAATCAAGTTCATCAATTACAATCAAATCCTTAGATTCAATTCTTCAACAATTACAACAATCGTTAACTAGTATTTCAATACTATTAAGATTATTCTTATCAATCATATATTCCATTTGTAAAACCCTACATATTTAGGGATATGTAGCAGCAACTTAATCATTCAATGTAATACATAAATAATCATTTATGTATCTACACAATTCACACACGAGTAGAATGCCTATTTCACATAATAGTTCATTTAACTCCATTTTCATCAATACTTTACCAAATCATTTCTCATTTCATTCTTTGGAAAATAGATCAATATTCCATCAATAGGTTATCATCATAATCCATGGAAAACATTACTTAGGCATTTAGGTAATCTCATGCTCAACCTACAAGTTGTAAGCAACTAGATGTCGATCCTCACCTCAAATGAGCTTTAAAACCTTCCTTCTCGATCCAATGGCTAAAGCCTCGGCCAAGGAAGCTTGAGAACTGATTCCTTGCTTAGAAATGGGTGCTAAACAGCCTCCTCAAGTTGCTATTTCAACCCCTAATCGTTGATACGAAAACAGCCCCTAGAACGGGTGTTTTCCGGCTAACTCGATTCCTAGTTTTCCAATATTTGCATCTAGGTTAGTATCTAACCTTTACATCAATAAAATAACTTAATAGGGATGTTTTATACACTTGGAGTAGTGTATAATAGTCCCACCAATCGTTCATATCATTTGGAAAATGAATGGAAAGGTTTTGGGATTAAAAACTCACTTAGAAGAGTAAATCCGTCCCTGCGAGGTCGCGTTCTGCTCGGACGATTTGGAAGCCTTCCTCTACTCCGATTGATGCAAACCAGACCTTCACGGATTCCTCGTCTTGAGAGCTTTCTTTTGGTATCTCACACGCCTTAATTGGATTGGTAAAACTCGAGATATCAACCAAACAGTCTCAGCACTCTCACAGCTCGAGTTCACAGACCACTGCTCGTTCCAGATCGATTTTTGGATGATTACTCTCTCCTCTCGAACTGAGACCACTCAATTATAAAAATAGACTTCAAAAGCTATCCAAGGACACCTTATACACCTCATTTGGCCGAGTATAACATCACTCATGAAGGGAGACAACCAGCACCACTCTTATGAGCGAAAATAGACTAGGTGGGGTTCCCTTTTGTTTCCTTTGTCAAGTCCAGCCCCTAGAGTCAACTATGGCAGCCTCCTAACCTTATTTTTCTTGTCTTGCAGGTGGAAAAGAAGGGATGGGGCGCAGCATGTGTTCCCCCATTATTTTTGGGAGCAAAACATTAATCAATACATCCAAAAATGGAAGAATGGGTCCTATTGTTTTATCTTTTGTCAAAGATGTCTTTTTGGACTTATCCTAATTTATTTAGAACAAGTCAACTTCCTACATAACATTATTGATCTCCAATATGTGTAGGCTCATCTCAATAACTTACTTGATGGATAATATAGAAGGAAAATCCTACTCCCATTATTTGGCTCAATAATGCCAAAGATGGGGTTATAGGCATTTGTACTCTTCTTTAATCATCCTATCGCTTATTTTGACATTTGTCATTCATATTATTGGGCTACAAGCCGTGTGGGTCGCCCCCGAGTGGGCCTACGACGCCGTCCTCAACTGTTTGCTATTTTAGCGGGTTGAGCTCAAAATAATGTATGGACTGCCCGCCCTTCCTCAACTTGTCTTGAAACGTTATGTATAACTATTTAGATAATGTTTGGATCTTTTATTTATTAATAAGGCCCAAACGAGTATCCTCAAGCCCAACACTAATGTACGAGTTCGAGCGGTATCATAATCGATCATGAATTACGTAAAATAACAATCGTTTTACAATTGTTTGGGAATCAGAAATCCAATACATAAACTTGAATTCTAAAATCAAATTCTCAAGGACGTTCGGGTGCGGTGTCACAAGTTCACCCCCCCCTTAACAGGAATTTCGTCCCCGAAATTCACAGCTCTACTCGAATAGGAAAGCATACTGTTTCCTCATCAAGGCCTCTGTTTCCCATGTCTCTTCTTCGACCCGATCGCTTTTCCAAAGTACTTTAACCATTGGGACTTCCTTGCTTCTCAATTTCTTCACCTTCCTGTCGGTGACCTTGATTGGTTGAACAGCGTATTTCAAATCCTCACGTACCTCTACAGGTGGCTTCTCCAATACGTGTGAGGGATCATGCACATACTTCTTAAGCATGGATACATGAAACACATTATGTATCTTCTCTAACTCAGGAGTCAACTGTAGACGATATGCAACGGCCCCAATCCTCTCTATAATTCTGAATGGACCTATGTACCGTGGGTTAAGCTTCCCTCGGGTTTGAAATCGAATGATTCCTTTCCAAGGAGAAACTTTCAAGAATACCTCGTCATCAACCTTAAACTCTAAGGTTCTTCGACGCTTATCTGCATAACTCTTTTGCCTATCCTGGGCCGCTTTGAGTCTCTCTCGAATCAATTTCACCTTTGATTTGGTGACCTCAACCAACTCAGTACCCTCGAGTTTGGCCATGCCAACCTCATCCCAGCATAACGGTGTACGGCACCTCCTCCCATACAATGCCTCGTATGGAGGCATACCGATGCTTGCCTGATAACTGTTGTTATAGGCAAATTCCACAAGTGCTAAGTGGTTGTCCCAACTTCCTTGGAACTCCAACGCACAAGCCCTCAGCATGTCTTCTAAGATCTGTATGACTCTTTCAGACTGCCCATCCGTCTGTGGGTGGAAAGCAGTACTGAACTTCAACCTCGTTCCCATAGACTCCTGAAATTTCGGCCAAAAACGTGATGTGAATCGTGGGTCTCTATCGGATACAATGGTCACTGGGACCCCATGCAGTCTCACGATCTCATCCGTATACAATTTGGCTAACCTCTCAAGTGGGTAGGTAGTGTTGATAGGCAAGAAGTGTGCACTCTTTGTGAGCCTATCCACAACAACCCAAACCGCATCGTAGTTCCGAATTGTCCGTGGTAAACCTACCACGAAATCCATAGTCACATGTTCCCACTTCCACTCAGGAATGGAAAGTGGTTGTAACAAGCCTGCTGGATGCTGATGTTCTGCCTTAACTTGTTGACAAGTAAGGCATCGACTGATGTACTCGGCTATTTCCCTCTTCATTCCAGACCACCAGTAACTTTCTTTCAAATCACGGTACATTTTCGTGCCCCCCGGGTGCATGGCATAAGCCGATGAATGAGCCTCCTCTAAGATGGACTTTCGGAGCTCATCATCTGACGGCACACACACTCGGTCACGAAATAACAAGAGACCATCATCTCTTGCCCTGAAATCCTCCACCAGTCCCGCTTGCATGCGTTCCCGGACCTTCATAAGTTCTGCGTCAGTCTCTTGACCCTTCTTGATCTCATCAAGTAAAGTAGGTCTCACCTCAAATCGTGCCAATAAGGCACCATCGCTGGATACCTCCAGTTGGGCTCTTAATGCCCTCAAATTAGCTAGCAATGCCCCAGACGAGCTCTTCCGGCTCAAAGCATCTGCCACCACGTTTGCCTTGCCTGGGTGATACTCTATCACTAGATGGTAGTCTTTTATCAACTCCATCCACCGTCTCTGTCTCATGTTTAGCTCTTTTTGAGTAAACACGTATTTCAAGCTCTTGTGATCAGTGTATATGTGACATGTCTCCCCGTAGAGATAATGTCTCCATATCTTCAGTGCAAACACCACAGCCCCCAGCTCCAAGTCGTGAGTAGGATAATTCACCTCATGCTTCTTCAACTGTCGTGAAGCATAGGCGATTACCCTCCCATTCTGCATCAGCACGCATCCAAGCCCTTGGATGCTCGCGTCGCTATAGACATCGTACCACACACCCTGTTTGGGTAATGCAAGTACCGGTGCCTCGGTCAATCGCTTCTTTAGTTCCATGAACCCCTCCTCACATTTGTCATCCCATACAAACTTAGCTCCTTTACGAGTGAGCTTCGTCAATGGTGATGCCAAAACAGAGAACTTCTCCACGAACTTTCTATAGTAGCCTGCCAGTCCAAGGAAACTACGAATTTCCTTGACGTTCTTTGGTCTCTCCCATTCGGTAATGGCTTCTATCTTCTTATTATCAACAGCAATTCCCGATCCTGAAACCACGTGCCCGAGGAAGCCAATTTCCTTTAGCCAAAATTCACATTTAGAGAATTTGGCATAAAGTTGCTTCTCCCGTAGTGTCTCAAGAACGAGTATCAAGTGTTCTTCATGCTCTTCCTCACTCTTTGAGTAAATCAAAATGTCATCTATGAACACAATCACGAATCGATCCAAGTATTTATGGAATACTCGGTTCATCAAGTCCATGAATGCCGCCGGGGCGTTTGTTAACCCAAACGACATAACAAGGAACTCAAAATGCCCATACCTTGTGCGGAAAGCACTTTTTGGTATGTCGTCTTCCTTAATCTTCAATTGATGGTAACCCGACCTCAAATCAATCTTTGAAAACACGGTTGCCCCTCGTAGTTGATCAAACAAGTCATCAATTCTAGGCAAAGGATACCTATTCTTGATTGTGACCTTGTTCAGTTGACGATAGTCAATACACATTCGAAGTGTCCCATCTTTCTTTTTCACAAAAAGAACTGGTGCTCCCCATGGGGAGTGGCTTGGCCTAATGAAACCATTATCCAAAAGCTCTTGCAATTGGGTTTTCAACTCGTTAAGTTCAGCGGGTGCCATACGGTATGGCGGTATGGAGATTGGTTTGGTGCCGGGCTCGACCTCGATCACGAACTCAATCTCCCTATCGGGTGGAAGTCCCGGTAAGTCTTTAGGAAAGACGTCCCGATACTTGCATACTACCCTAACATCATCAATGCTCGTCTCTTCTTTGGTTTTGTCCACCACATACGCTAGATATGCGTGACATCCCTTCCTCATCATATTCTTAGCCCTCACAGCGGATATGATACAACTATTGGATTTTGCCCTATCCCCTTCGAAGCGTAAGGTTACCCCTTCATTGCCTTCGAGTTCAAGTACTTTCGTGTAACAATCGACCCTAGCATGATGCTTCTCAAGCCAATCCATCCCCAGGATTGCATCGAACTCAATCATACTCAGCGGCACGAAATCACACGACAAGTTTTGGCCCTCCACTTCCACCTCACACGATGGATAGTGGCTATCTCTCTCGATGTCTTCCCCTAGGGGTGTGGATACCAATAGGGCTTGAGCCATCGGTACTAGGGGTGCGTTGAATCCCCCGGCGAATGCCTCACTCACAAATGATCGTTGCGCCGCGGTATCGATGAGGATTCTCGCACATCTCCCATTAATCTTTAGTGTTCCTACATTTATAAGCCATGTAAGATACCTCTCTAACATACCGACCAATCCTACGAAGAACATAATGCGAAATCATGTCCTTAAAGTGGGCAAAATCCCCCAATTATGGTTGACGTTCGCAGTTGAGATATAAATTGACACTGTCTCACCGTTTTGATCATATCTCTTCACATACTTAACCAAATCGTTCGATTCAAATTCCATCATTTAGACAATGAAAATATCTACAACTTTCATGAAGACAACTTTTTCATTTGACGAACACTTCGAGGTGTACCCGGTCGAGTAACATACTATACCCGATCGGGTATAAGTTCCAGTGGGTTCGGGCAGAATTTTTTTTTTTGACAAACCCGGTCGGGTTTACCACCATACCCGGTCGGGTATGTGTTCCAGAAAGTGTCGGGAAGAAATTTTTGACAAACCCGGTCGGGTATACCACCAAACCCGGTCGGGTATGTGTTCCAGAAGGTGTCGGGCAGAAATTTTTGACAAACCCGGTCGGGTATACCACCATACCCGGTCGGGTATGTGTTCCAGTGGACTTATGAGTGAAAAAACTTGGCCTACCCGGTCAGGTTCATTACCAAACCCGATCGGGTATGCGATCCAGAAGGTTTACGAGGGCAAAAACTCGTCCCACCCGATAGGGTTTATTGCCCTACCCGGTCGGGTAGTAGCATGGTTTTGCTCTCCTTTCCCATTTCAATCTTACGTCTGCTCCCACCTGGATTCTAGGATTTATAACTTCAATTTATGTACTAATTAAGGATAAAACACTAGTGTACGAGAGGCAATACCTGCAACGGAATCCGGGTTAGCTTGAGCATCCGCCTCCGTCATCGCGTAGACCCTAGCTTGAGTCCTTCCTTGATTCACGGACGGCGCGTTGCTTGCGCTTGCTCCCCCTTGCCCCCTGGACGCTTGTGAAGTCCCGGCTTGATTCCGTGTCCCGGTATTACCACTACTTGGCCCTGATGCCCTCGTCCCGCCCAGTTGTGGGCAGCTCATCTTCATGTGACCCGTGCTCCCGCATTGGTAGCATCTAGGAGGGTCACGACATTTCCCCGGGTGGTTCCTCTTGCAATTCTTGCAACGAGTCACCCCCGAGGCTTGTGATTGCCCGCCCGGGCCATGACTTCCCCTAGGTGGCAGTGGGGGTGTCCGAAAAGATCCCCCTCCCCCATGGTTCCCCTTTTTGCTAGGACCTTGATGTCCATGGTTCTCCCACTTCCTCTTCTTTGCCTCTTCGGCGTTCTTCAACTTTCTTTCCTCCCATTCTTTCTCTCCTTTTAACCCTTGCTCGACCACTTGGCCAAAAGTCATGTTAGGCAACTGTGTTGCCCTCTCACGCACCTCCAGGTCTAAGGCATCCCAGAAGTGATTTACCATCCGGTTCTCGTCACACACATACTCCGGTATGAACTCCGCGAGCTCCCTGAATTTGTGTTCAAGTTGCCTCACCGTCATTTTGCCCCCTTGGGTCAGGAGGGTATACTCTCTCCTCTTGGCGTTCACCTCAAAATCAGAATAATATTGGGCAAAGAACTCCTGTCGGAAATTCTCCCAAGTCACCGTGTTGCCATATTTTCCCTTGGCTCCGTCCCACCATGTGGATGCCATCCCTTCGAGCAACCTCACCGCCACCCTTAGCTTAAACTCGGAGGTGAGTTGCATATCAAGGGCTGCTTCGTTCAGCCTCTTGATCCATTCCGCGGCGACCGAGATGTCACCCGCTCCGTTGAAGGGTTTGCACCCCAAGTCTCGTGCCTCCTTGAGGTATTTGGAGATCCTTATGATCGGACCTCCATCACCCCGGCCCCCATGTGGTTCAATGTGGGCCCTAGAGTCGCCATGGCTTCTTCCTCTTGAAGCCCCACCCGAAGTTCGCCCTCCTCGGCGCCTTCGGCGTTCCCTCCTTCCCTCGCGCTCCCGCTGGTATTGCTGGAGCAGCGCCTCAATTCTGGCTAGGGAGTCATTCTCCCCTTCTTCATCACTTATATCATCGTCATCCCCTTCGTAAGGGGTCTCAACCGGCTCGGTCTCCGGTTGGTAAGTCGAGTCCTCATAGGACCAGTAGGTTTCACTTTCTGTGTCAACATGACCGTCACTCACGGTCTGTGATCGGCCTCCACGGCCAGCTCCTCTAGATGCCCTAGAGGTCCTTCGACTGCCCTGTCCAGTCTCCACTGGTACACGGCCCGTCGGGTTTCTCCTAGTAATCCTGCCACCACGGTCCATTTCTGAAAGAAATTTGGAAGGAGTCGTTAGACTCGTATCAAATGTCAATTGACGGATAGGTACTTAAGACACATTTTGGCTCGAGTCACCGCCATACCAATTGCTAAGGGTACCATCTTAACAATTAGAGACCTTGCAACCCAAGTACCAAAAGCTCTCCAAGTACAAAACTTCTATGCTCATGGTTTTCAAAATATTTTCAAAAAGAGAATTTTGAGACTTCATTATGAAGTTTATGGACTAAGGCTCTGATACCAACTTAATTGTCACGCCCCGGACCTCCCCGGACACGTCAACAACCCGCCGTACAATACGAATAGTCAACCGCAGTCCAACACATTCATATTATACAAGGCGTCTCGAATATCATTCAGACGTAAGCCATCCATAAACAAACATAGTAAGTAATTCATAATGCAGCGGAAAACATTGTTTAAAACAAAAAGGCCACACCGGGCTATTCATGAGCACGCAGGCTCCATATTAAAATATCCATGAGCATGTTTATTAATGTTTAAAACTGAATGGAGGAAGCACGAACCAAGTCTTCCCTCCTAGATGATCCCTCGAGCAACGAGCACAGGAAGCAAGCTCTAGCCTCAACCTGAAAAATGGTGGTGGGACGCCCCCGAAGGGGTCAGCACTCTATAGGGCTATAAAGTGCTGGTGTGGATGGCATCTAATAGATATACAACAAGTATTTCAAACACAAGACCCTCAAATAGGGTGATAGTATAATCTAGGCCGTAACCCCAAGTTACCCCTTTTAAAAATATACTTACTTTATATATAAAGTCAAGTAGTCGGCCCGTAGGCCCAAGGTTTGTTTATCAAACATACCCCAAAAATCCCGTGACCCCTAGTCACAACAATACATAGGGTTCAACCCTAACACACACGTTTGCATTCTCGAGTCCAACTCGACTACATCACCATGCACCCTTATTAACATAAGCTAACTACTCCACCGTGCATTTCTTGAGTCCAACTCAACTACATCACCATGCACGACAATCACCTCATCATGTCTACCCAATGCAATTCTATGAGCACGGGCTCAAGTACATCTCCTTACATTGGCATAGACCCCAATTCCTAAGCACTCACTATGCCTAGAATTGTAATATCAATAATCTATTTTGGGACATCCCTACGGACTGCCCAACCATGGTCTTAGCATCACATTACATCAATTTAGTCACTTGCATCACAATCAAGTTCATCAATTACAATCAAATCCTTAGATTCAATTCTTCAACAATTACAACAATCGTTAACTAGTATTTCAATACTATTAAGATTATTCTTATCAATCATATATTCCATTTGTAAAACCCTACATATTTAGGGATATGTAGCAGCAACTTAATCATTCAATGTAATACATAAATAATCATTTATGTATCTACACAATTCACACACGAGTAGAATGCCTATTTCACATAATAGTTCATTTAACTCCATTTTCATCAATACTTTACCAAATCATTTCTCATTTCATTCTTTGGAAAATAGATCAATATTCCATCAATAGGTTATCATCATAATCCATGGAAAACATTACTTAGGCATTTAGGTAATCTCATGCTCAACCTACAAGTTGTAAGCAACTAGATGTCGATCCTCACCTCAAATGAGCTTTAAAACCTTCCTTCTCGATCCAATGGCTAAAGCCTCGGCCAAGGAAGCTTGAGAACTGATTCCTTGCTTAGAAATGGGTGCTAAACAGCCTCCTCAAGTTGCTATTTCAACCCCTAATCGTTGATACGAAAACAGCCCCTAGAACGGGTGTTTTCCGGCTAACTCGATTCCTAGTTTTCCAATATTTGCATCTAGGTTAGTATCTAACCTTTACATCAATAAAATAACTTAATAGGGATGTTTTATACACTTGGAGTAGTGTATAATAGTCCCACCAATCGTTCATATCATTTGGAAAATGAATGGAAAGGTTTTGGGATTAAAAACTCACTTAGAAGAGTAAATCCGTCCCTGCGAGGTCGCGTTCTGCTCGGACGATTTGGAAGCCTTCCTCTACTCCGATTGATGCAAACCAGACCTTCACGGATTCCTCGTCTTGAGAGCTTTCTTTTGGTATCTCACACGCCTTAATTGGATTGGTAAAACTCGAGATATCAACCAAACAGTCTCAGCACTCTCACAGCTCGAGTTCACAGACCACTGCTCGTTCCAGATCGATTTTTGGATGATTATTCTCTCCTCTCGAACTGAGACCACTCAATTATAAAAATAGACTTCAAAAGCTATCCAAGGACACCTTATACACCTCATTTGGCCGAGTATAACATCACTCATGAAGGGAGACAACCAGCACCACTCTTATGAGCGAAAATAGACTAGGTGGGGTTCCCTTTTGTTTCCTTTGTCAAGTCCAGCCCCTAGAGTCAACTATGGCAGCCTCCTAACCTTATTTTTCTTGTCTTGCAGGTGGAAAAGAAGGGATGGGGCGCAGCATGTGTTCCCCCATTATTTTTGGGAGCCAAACATTAATCAATACATCCAAAAATGGAAGAATGGGTCCTATTGTTTTATCTTTTGTCAAAGATGTCTTTTTGGACTTATCCTAATTTATTTAGAACAAGTCAACTTCCTACATAACATTATTGATCTCCAATATGTGTAGGCTCATCTCAATAACTTACTTGATGGATAATATAGAAGGAAAATCCTACTCCCATTATTTGGCTCAATAATGCCAAAGATGGGGTTATAGGCATTTGTACTCTTCTTTAATCATCCTATCGCTTATTTTGACATTTGTCATTCATATTATTGGGCTACAAGCCGTGTGGGTCGCCCCCGAGTGGGCCTACGACGCCGTCCTCAACTGTTTGCTATTTTAGCGGGTTGAGCTCAAAATAATGTATGGACTGCCCGCCCTTCCTCAACTTGTCTTGAAACGTTATGTATAACTATTTAGATAATGTTTGGATCTTTTATTTATTAATAAGGCCCAAACGAGTATCCTCAAGCCCAACACTAATGTACGAGTTCGAGCGGTATCATAATCGATCATGAATTACGTAAAATAACAATCGTTTTACAATTGTTTGGGAATCAGAAATCCAATACATAAACTTGAATTCTAAAATCAAATTCTCAAGGACGTTCGGGTGCGGTGTCACAATTTTCTTCCAAATTTGGCAGATTACTCCTATTCAAGGAATAAAAAACATGATACTCCTATTTTGGAATTTCAAAATGTTTTTACTCCTATTTAGGGAATTCTCTCATCTAGTATCCGACCATCGTCAACCGTCGCCGCTACAGATTCGGCCTTCCCGCTGCAGATCAGGCCTCCACCGCTGCACGTTCGGACTCCGCCACCGCAGATCTGGAAGCCACCGTCACTCATATCAATATTTATATTAGAATGCCAACATGAGCCAAGAATGTCATCTTAATGGCATTCTTAAAGAAAAATTTGGCATTTTTGAAGAAAAAATGTCATCTTCATGACATTTTTAAAACAAAATTTGGCATTTTTCAAAATTCAAAGAAGAACAAGAAGTTACCATCGTTGAATGCATAAGGGCTGACGGATCTCGAATTTTCAGAATCACATTGAAACAAAAGAGGGAGAAAGAGAGAAGAGGAGGAGATGAGGAAGAAGGAGAAGGAAGAGATAGTTAGGGAAGAATTACAAACCTCAATTTCACCACTAGATCTGAACCAAAGCTCACTGCCGACCGCCGCCGCTCGTCGTGGTTCCTTCGCCGCCGCTCGCCGCTGCCGTTGTTCATCGGTGCTCGCCGCTGCTCATGGCCTCGCCGCTGCTCATGGCTTCGCCGCTGCTTATGGCTCCTTCACTACTCGCTGCTCATGGCCCTAGTTCCAGACATGCGCATAAGCAAAGATGGGCAAATGGTGCTTGAACGGTAGACACTAATTAAAGGGGTAGAACTGGTATAATGGTCCTATTTTGGGAATAAAAGTATATATACTCATATTTTGGAATTTGAGCAACACTTTAGTCCTATTTAAGACAATTTCCCCGTTTTAAATCAATCCTAATGAACTATAAACTTCTTTTGAGTTTTAAATCTAAAATCTAATGTATGCGAGTTATTCCTTTTCCCCCATAAAATCAAATCCATATTCTATCCAATTCTAAAAACACAAGTAGAACGATGAGTAGAACGAACTTGGCACACAAAATCATTAATTGACAAGGATTTGTTACCCAAGTATCAAATAATTCGTGTCAAAATTAATATGACACCAATTTTGTCATGGATTCACAGATTTGGAAGAACATGTTCCAAATTCCTGTCACATTGTTCTTGGCGAGACAATTGCTACTAAATCCGTTGTTTTTGTTGTAAAGAGAAACACACAATACACACACATGTAAGAGCATCCACAATGCTCCCATGTGAAGTCTTAAAAAAATATGCCAAATGTCTTAAAATTAATAGGCTTTCCAATACACATAAGAGAAAGTCTGATTAAAGGATATTGAACTACCAAATATGCGTCCAGTGCAGAAAACATCTCACAGAAGTCTAATGTCCACATGGAATGAAGTATGTTAAAATAAAACTATATTTTACTCCGTAATATATTTTGTATATTTTGTATACACCGCAGGGTAGCGGCCTCCAATGTTCTGACGGCGAACAATGGAAGAACCAACATCCCGAAACTGGTCCAAAATGACGAAGATAAAATTGCCAGTTGCGCCTCTCCAACCTGTGGCCGTGAAACGATGAACCGCCATTCCAGGTTTTGACCGGCGAGCATCATCTTTCCCAGTGCGCCGGTCTCCACTCAGGAACAAATAATAACCACCATTCCAGATCTGATTTTGCTTCGTTCTCTGCTCTGGAGGAGGGGCCGTCGCGCTTGGTTGCCGGAGAGAAAGATCTGTCGCACCGTGCCAGGACAGACGATGTGGGAGCAGTGTAGCGGCGAACCCGGCGTTGAAATCCCCATCGTGAGGTAGAGGCAGAGGTCTTTTAGTGTAATTTGTCCAAGTCAGCATGTCAAGAAGCCTTTCTATACTCACACATCGCTCTCGACGGTGTTTAAGTTTTTTTTGCCAACTCATCACAAGACTATATGCATTGGAAGCCAAATTTAATCTGCAATGTCCCCAATTGATGACATGACATCTTTTATCTGCACTAGAAAGCACCGCATTGCGGTTGCTCTAAGGGATGCATATATTTTCCTATATATAGTTCAGAGTATTGAGAAATACTTCTTCTGTCCCAACTTGAATTACGATTTGTGAATTTCAAGGTTTACCGACACTAAAATTAAATTATGCTTGTGGATATTTTAATTAGTTTCAATAATTAAAATTTGCATTTTCAGAAAACTACATTAAAAGATTTATAACCCACAAATTTCAAACTAGAATGTAATAAAATATTGATATGCTAAATAAATAGATAATGTGAAAATATATTGATCTAGGAAAGTTGACTTTGAATATGGTTTTGTGACAGAGTGAATAATACATTGCAATGTAATTTTGCAACTGGATTGTTTTTTTTTTATTTTTTTTCACATTTCCCCATTTAGTAATTAAAGAATGTTAATTCTATCATAATTATAATTTATCCCGCTAACTTTTCATTCAATATTTACTTAAATCTAAAAAAGTGCTCTATAAGTCATTTTGTATTTGAAATGATCTCATTTATACTCTAAAAAGTGTCCATTTCATGATTTGGATGGGACACCGGTAAATGGGGAGGTATAATATGTCACTGTCTTTGGTCATGCTTTACGGTAACGTGGAATACTGCTGGCACAATTTCTAGTTTAATTTCTACATTCGTTTGTTGGCCCAAAACTGAAATGCTAAAGATTACATCATAATGTATAGGATTGTATAGTGTAGCGGGCTGGTCAGGCCCATACACATTCAATCACAAGTTCACAACACAATCTCCCATTTAATTTCTTCAAAGACTTTCAATTTCATTTTGTTCGGGGGAAAAGGTGTAAATAGGCCCATGTACTAACAAAAAAAGGTCAAATAAGTCCTTATTTAGGAGGCTCTGTCCGGCCGTCGCCATTTGGGATGGTTCCCGGTGGAATTTTTTGATGAAATTTTTTGAGCATCTTATTCATTAAGCCTAGTTTACTCATACCAAATTTCAGCTAAAACTTCAATCGGGAAGGCATTCAAATGATACAGCTAAGATAACTGCGTTTCTAACTGCGCAGTTATTTTCAAGAATTCATTTGAATACCTTCCTGATTGAAGTTTTAGCTGAAATTTGGTATGAGTAAACTAGATTTAATGAATAAGATGCTCAAAAAATTTCATCAAAAAATTCCACCGGGAACCACCCCAAATGGCGATGGCCGGACAGAGCCTCCTAAATAAGGGCTTATTTGACCTTTTTTGGTTAGTACATGGGCCTATTTGCACCTTTTCCCTTTTGTTCTGACTATTTAAATTTAGTCTAATCTGAATTGATTTTATCAGGTCTGTTATGGTTGATATATGTTCTACGTGTATTTTATGATTATTGTAGTCTGAATTGATCTGGTTCGATTTGTTGTTCTTAAGTCCGGTGTCGTCTATTCCGGTATGGGATTGAAACAATTCAAAACCAAGTCATAATAGCATTTTGATTTTTGACATCTCAAATATATGGATTTGGTTATTTCAGCCTCGAGTTTTGAGAAGATTAGGGCCTGTTTACTAACAGGGATATTTTCCAGTTTTCCAGAAAACTGGAAAACTGGAAAACAGAAAACAGGAAACGTGTTTACCAAAGAAATTCCTGGAAAACTGGAGAAAGGAAAAAAGAAAAACGCGTTTACCAAATCGTTTTCCATAACGGAAAAAATGAGACATGTCTCTCTTTTCCTTAATGATTTGGAAAAGTGACTTTTACTAGTTTTCAAAATTTGGAAAACGCAGATGCTACAGTGCCGCTGCAATGAATTTGCATACTTACACCTAGTGGTGGGTCCGGTCCCGCTCCGATGTCGATTCCATTTCGGTACCTCCATCCTCGTACCTTACCCCTTACCCCTACCCTACCCTACCCACCCAACCCCACCCCGCATACCCATTTTTCCCTATAATGACCCTACCCCACCCCGATCCACCCTACCCTACCGCCACCCCCTACCACCTCGACCCCACCCTGACCCACCCTACCCTACCCCCACCCGTATATTACCCCTTACCACATGCCCCTACCTCGGCCCCACCCCGCCGCCATCCTATCCCCACCCTCGTACCGCCATCCTACAACCATCCTACCCCACCCTACCTCGGCCCCACCCCGACCCTACCTCTTACCACATGCCCCTACCTCGGCCCCACCCCACCGCCATCCTACCCCCACCCTCGTACCTCCATCCTACCCCCACCCTTCCGCCATACGACCACCATCC